CCCCAAAACCCCAAAACCCCAAAACCCCAAAACCCCAAATAGTCCAAAAAATATTGAAATATAAAAAAATGCACAAAATGAGATACTTTAGAGTAAGCACAAGTTTAGTGGCTAATATGTGTAGAGCACGAGGACAAAAATGCCCAAGAAGAACAAACAAAGTGATGAAAGGGAAATTATGATGGAAATGCAAAGGAAGTTAGCACAAATAGAGGATAAGCTTAATTATTTCATTGGAGATTCCCCAAAAAAGGTGGGAAAAGATCAGGTGTTGGATGAAGATGAAACTCACTTTTTACAAAGAGCAAGAAAGGCGATACAAGAGAGGTGTTCTGATAAGACCAGTACTACAAAAAGTTATAGGTCTTCTATACATGAAGATTCTGATAAGAATTCGAATGATCAGCTTGTAATCGAGACTTTTAAGTATAAGAAGCATAAGGTTATTCCCTACTCCAGTAAAATTGCATTGAAAAGATCGAGTGAACCTGAGTTTATTGAAAATTTCTCTAAAAATAGGCCAACCTTGAACATTGATGTTACAAAGAAGTCTCAGAAAGGGAAAAAGAGTTAGGTTTATGATAATCTTTTTAGACACTTGCCATCTTAAGAAAAATAGTAAAAAGAACCAATTAATTCCAAAAGTTTCAAAGAAAAGTAATCTTGATTTTAGTTAAATAAATTTTATTTAGATTCTACAAAAGGAGATTTGACTGGAAGAAGTAGTCTTATTAGCACAAGCCTGAAGGAGAAGACTAAATAAGACAACCAAGAGCAACTACTTTGATCTTATCAAGAAGACGTATAATAAAGCACCAATCGAAGATCAAGCTAATAAAACTGTATTGATTTGTATAATATATAGACTCTTCATAAAAGATCTTCTATCGATGAGAGTTGTGATGACTTTGATAAATACCTTTGACCTTCTCCCCAGTTGATGCCTGAAGAGGATAGAAAAGATCAAAAGTTATCTTCAACAGTCCCAAAGAAAGCGGTGACTACCAAATTTATTTCACTGATGAGAGATAAGCCTATCAATTATAATAGCAAATACAAATATGTGGACCTTGAAAGCTCTTTAAACTCTTCCAATATGTCAAGAAACAGCAGCACAACACAAAAAAGGATCTCATCAACACAAAGAGTAATGAATACCTCTGACTCCAACAGAGGAAGGGATGCTCTAAAGTTTAGAGAAAGTCTGAGGAAATCTAGGTCTAACCTAAGACTATCACTTAATCGACCGATAACTGAGAGAACCGACTTCATGCAGTCTTGCAAGCCCAAATTTACTCGTATTAACTCGGAAAGATCACTTGGCCTTAGAAAGTCTTACAAAAACCCTCAACAAATGAAGAAAATAGTCAAGAAGAAGACTTTAGAGAAGAACTTTTTATCTAAATCTTCGACAAATTTCGCATTTCTGAGGAACGCACAGCTAGACACAGTGTACAAAAACCTAGGTCAGAAGAAATGCAAGAAGGAATTACCATCCAAGAAGCACAAGCTTAAGTTTGATATTGAAGGAGCCTTTGATAAAACCGGGAATTTCTCCAACCGAGACGAGGTAGATGATGGTTTCACGAGCATGCAGACATCCAACAACCCTCTCAGCAGCAATATTGATGAAAACTCTCAATGCTGGACTAGCTCAAAGTAAGCTCCCTTCTAATCTCTACAGAAATCCTTGAAAAGACAAACCAAGAAGAGGTAGATATAATAGGATAATAAATTACTAATCTCCCATTTCAATCTCCTAAATTCTCTAAGGGGTTTTGGGGTTTTGGGGTTTTGGGGTTTTGGGGTTTTGGGG